TCTTTACCACTCATTACTTCAACCACTTAAGAATAATCTTACCCAACTTACCTTTTCATTTGAAGCAAGGTCCCTATTGAAGCGAACAAGAGCTTGTACCCTTTTGTCAGGTGCCATCCGCATGTACTGTGCCAGATCTTTCATCATATTGAAATCTCCTCTCATATCATCAGTTAGTCCTGTCATTATGCACAATTCTGGCACAAGGTAAATATTTCCTGCACCCCTTCGTAAGTCGCGTTTCTTGGGTTTTGAAACAAGCATTGGCTGCTTCTGATCCCGAATCTTTACTTGGTAATTCTGGAAAAGAATAAAATCAGATACAAATTAACATGTTACATCAAAACTACTAAAAAGCACATTGGTGAGATTTAGAAAAAAATAAATAAAAAATCAACCTTAAACGTACCTTTTCATAATAATCAAGGTAAGTGCACTCTCCTCCCTTATAAGGAAAACATGAAGATGGATTGCAGTCCCAATCAATGTCATCAACTCTGTAGGTTTTTTCATTGTATGTAGTCATAACTACAGTTCCCAGAAGATATTTTGGGGCTTCAGTTTTCTGCAGATAAATAAATAAGATTATCTAAACTAAAGGTAATGCATTATTCATACATCAATTACTAAAAGTGATTTAAGAAAACCATCTCTGGGGGGGGAGGCATTTGGATTTAGCTGATGTAGGCACTTTACACTAGGTAGCCTATATGGAGTTTTGCTTATTGCAACATACATAAAGCATTTAATAATGATTTCACACATATATGAATTTAATATCCAAAGAACATTTTTATACCAACAGAAAATTTATATATATGTTTGGCAGGATTTCCTTCAAAATAATTTTTTTGGGTTATTTACATGTCATTTGCATGTCACTGGTAAGATGTTTATTAAGTGGTTGGTATGTATAATTAGTGTCCATAATCTTCCAAGTATGACTCCAATTGAAATTTATTATAAGCAGCCCTTTAACCCCTTTCATCCAGGTGATGTAGCCATCCCGTCAAGGAAAAATCTGGGTTGAGGGCCAGATATGGCGAACATGCCAGCATGGGACAAAATGGGTGCAGGCAAGGTGATGCAAACTTGCTGTCATGAGCAAAGGCTAGAGTGAAGGAAAAGACTTGCCACAAGTGCAACAAACCTCTTGGAGTGTGATTACACTCATCTGACATTTTAAAGGGGGCTTTTGCATTATTCCCATCAATAAACAAGCGTGGAATGTAATGTGCATAGCCATGATTGGAAGAGCACCAGCTCTAGGGAGGACCAGGCCGCAGTGGCCAGTAGCAGATTGTACCATGGAAAATTTAAAATTATGAAAAAGTTAAAGATATGACACAAACAACAAATATTTTTTTTTTTTAATTTTGGGGGGGGTACCAAGTTATTTACTACACAGAGATGATATGGAGTCTGTGCAAGCAAAATTATATATTACCATCTGGATAAAGTATCACAAAAGACAAATATGAACATTGGAAAATGGCAAGAAAACTATAAATGTTTATGCAAAATAATAACTTTTTACAGCACACAAGTGTCCACCTAGCCTACAGACACACTGCCCTTCCAAGCAACCACTTACATAAACTAATGCCTGTATTTTCAGATATGTAATTACCATGACCCCAACAGGCTAATGGTAAAAAAAAAAAAAAAAAATCTTTATTAATCCCTAGCCGTCCAGTGTCACATGCGTACATGCCATGGCTGTTGTGCACAAAGTAGCAGATGGCATCATATCACAACCATTCCCATGCTGTTGGCTCATCAAAGTTTGTTTTTACTCTCCCTCTATCGCTCTCTCCTCTATCCCTTTCTCTATATCCCTCTATCCCTTTCTCTCTCTATCCCTCTATCCCTTTCTCTCTCTATCCCTCTATCCCTTTCTCTCTCTATCCCTCTATCCTCTCTATCCATATTCCTCTCTCTCTCTATCCATCTATTCTCTCTCTCTCTATCCATCTATTCCTCTCTCTCTCTATCCATCTATTCCTCTCTCTCTCTATCCATCTATTCCTCTCTCTCTCTATCCGTCTATTCCTCTCTCTCTCTATCCGTCTATTCCTCTCTCTCTCTATCCGTCTATTCCTCTCTCTCTCTATCCGTTTATTCCTCTCTCTCTATCCGTCTATTCCTCTCTCTTTCTATCCCTCTATTCCTCTCTCTCTCTATCCCTCTATTTCCTCTCTCTCTCTATCCTCTATTCCTCTCTCTCTCTATTGTCTATTCCTCTCTCTCTCTATCCGTCTATTCCTCTCTCTCTCTATCGTCTTTCCTCTCTATCCCTCTATTCCTCTCTTTCTATCCCTCTATTCCTCTCTCTCTCTATCCCTCTATCCCTCTCTCTTTCTATCTCTATCCCTCTATTCCTCTCTCCCTCCTTCCCTCCCTCATTATAAACTATCATTTACATCTCTTTAGATCTATAACCTTTTAGTTGTAACCAAGGACCATATGTGAAAGTTGCAGTGCATCTAAGACTGGGGAAGGAACAAGGATATTATGGAAACCAGAGATGGCTGTTGGAGAAGTGGGATAGATATCTGAGGAGCAGAGGAAGAGGAGGGTGTAGAAGATGTGGTAGAAGGTGGAGTGAAGTGTTTCTGTTGCCTGGTTTGACTGGTAAAGTGAGGAGGGGTAGGCATCGGGGAAGTGGTAGAGATTGGAGTATCTGGACTTGGACTAGAAAAGGAATAGAGGAATGAAGAAAGAGGGAAGAGATACTGGGTGAGATGCCGAGACATCGTGACAAGATGGGAGAGGAGAGCAAAGGATAGTTTTGGAACAAGTAGAATGACACAAAGA